GCATCCCATATCAGAGTGCTAGCTGGAGTTCCTACTGCTCCACTTCTGAAGCAGCTCCCTGCTAATGCGCTTGGCAAAACAACGAAAGTTGACTCAGGTGCTCAGGCCTTGCACCCACGTGGGAGACTCTAACAGAATTCCAGGCTCCTGGCTTTGGCTTGGCTCAGCTTCCACCATCAAAACCATTTGGAAGGTGAACCAGAAGACGGAACCAATCTTTCCCTGTGTCCCCTCCTTCACACCCCCCCCCACCCCGGTAACTCTGCCTTTCAAATAAATAAGTAAATCATAAAAAAGCAGAAATTTATTTCCCATTGTTCTGGAGGCAGCCAGTTTGGGTTCTGGTAAAGGCTTTGTTTCTGACTCATAGAGGCTCACCTTGCTGCCGTGCCCTCACATGGCAGAGAGAGCGAGCTCTGGCATCTATTCCTCTTTCCTAAGGGTACCAGCCCTATCTGATTAGGGCTCCATTCTTGTGACGTCCTTTGACACTCCTTATAGGACTTCTCATCAAAAACAGTCACGTTGGGAGGGCTCAGCACATGAACTCTGTGGAACCCAAACCATTCTGTGGAACCCTCTTTGGTTCTTCAAGATTCATCTATTTTCTGAACAAGTCAAAGAGGTGGCTTGAATAAGGTAGTGAGGGGAATCATCACCGTGCATCTTTCAAGCCCTTGATAGTGGCGCTGTTCTATTCAATCCTTCCAGGATTGCAATATCAATTTTTGAAAAAAAAAAGTATCTATTTATTAATTTATTTTTGAAAGGCAGAGAGACAGAGACAGAAATTTCCCATTGATTAATTCATTCCCCAAATGCCTGCAATAGCTGAGGCTAGGCTGGGCTGAAGCCAGGAGCCCAGAACCCAAGCCCGGCTTCCCATGTGGTTGTCAGAGACCCAGATACTTGTACTGTCACCTGCTGCCTACCAGGGTATGCATTAACAGGAAGTGAGAATTGGAAGCAGAGCCAGGACTTGAACTCAGGCACTTCAATATGTGATATATGGATGTCCCAACCACTGCACCGAATGCCTGCCCTGGATCCTACTTTTGATTTCTTATTTTCTTAGATAGAGGCAGCTCTAGTCACCCCCACTTGATCTTTTTCAGCTTAATAGTCCTCTTCAAAGCAAGGGACCAATGTAGGTCCCAATTCTGCCAGTTGCTGAGTGTGTCTGTTATTGTACATCTAGAATTAGGGAAATAACCACAGGGTGGATTTGAAGACCAACTGAGAGATGGACCTCAGCTAAAATTCCATTGATCATTTGACTTCCATAAGCCCCTACTCTGAATGCTGGGCCCAAGTGGCATTTTAGGTCACTTGGAATTATATCAATTAGCAGCCAATATCCAATTATCCACAAAAGTCCCATTATTTCTTTTTTCTCAATGCCAGATAAAAGGCCATGCGTTCCTGTAAAGAAGCCTTAGAGAATGATAAAAAGTATAAATTTTTTACAATGTCCTAGGACTTTTCTCCAGAAATTAATCCTCCCGTTCGTTCAAGGTCTGTAAACTAGCTCAAGTCTGGGTATGTCTGAAGGACAGTGACTCTGTTTTTAGGATTCAAGTTAGATTTTTATTCACTTTCCTTAGAATTCCTTGTCTCTACAGATCAAGCAACAACTGATTATGCTTTACATTTTTTTCCAGTTGTAGGGGCACCATGATCTACTAGCCAACACTGCAAGCATCTGGGAGTCAGAACATTCTGACATCCACACCCAGTGCGTCTTGGTGTTTAAGCACAGTCATTTGGCCCTTGTCACCCAGGGATTCAATTATTCCCATGGCATTTAGGTTTCCCAATTCAGCGACATCACATCCCACAACAATTTTTTGAACACAGAGAAGAGCAATCACAGAGCTCTTCAAGGATGTGGTGGCTTCCCTCACAAATTTATTTTTCAGACTTGTGATTGTTAAACAAAATTTAGAGAAGGCCATTGTTTAGGATTAAGCCCTTGCACAGACTAGGTTAAGAATCAAAATGGAGGCAAGTATGCTAAAATTCCACATCACTAAGCCAAAACTAAGCTACTTATCTGACCTAAGAAGGAAACAGAATTGTAGAGGCATCAGTCAGATTTTCCAAACAGCACCAGTTTCACTGGCATGATACTCAAGTTCCTTCTACTCTAATCCTTATACAGACAAAGTAACCTGCTGGAACCAGTTATTTATTTTATTCTCTCTGTCATTGCCTTACATGGAAAATCAATTGGATTTTGCTTTTGTTTTGGTGGTTTTTAAGCCGTTCTCCATAAAACCAAATTTCTTTGCCTGGACCATCAGAACACTTGTTCTATTTTATGGAATGACATGTTGCTCTATTTTAGAATTGAAAATAAAGCCATCTAAGATCTTTAAATTATTGTAATTGTGTGCTTTGACTTGCTAAAATCTGTGCCTTTTTGTACCTTTCCAAAGTGGGAGAGCTGATCCTAAGTGACAAGTCCACTTTAACATTTAAGCCCCTCTAAGCCTTTGAATTCCTTCCTCTACAGTAAGCCAAAGCTGGTCTGACAGCACTCATGCTGGACTACCCTGTGTTCCTTGTTTCATTCAGGTAAGAGGTTAAGCCCTCTGAGCTGCAACAGGAGTCTGAAATATGCAATAATGGCCTGATTCAACTTTGTATTCCTCCCTCAATTGTTCCACACCCTTAATTTCCATTCCCCTGCAAGTTGCCTGATTTTCTGTCTGAATAGAATGGGAAAATGATGTAGATCTTTTGAATGTAGTCCATCTCTTCATGGGTTGTACTTTGTATCTCACCTGTAGAAGCATGCTTGGACTTGAGTCTAGGAGCAAAGAGGGGTAGTGGGGACAGCTTCGGAGTAGAATCACCAGAGTCCTGCCAGGCAGCTCCCTCAAGAGGCCATGGTGGTTCCCTCAGGAGAATTAGGGTTCATATGCTCAGGCATGGATGGAAGAGCTGATGAAGCAGACACCAGAGTCAGGTTCAGTGTGCCCGTCTTCATCAGAATCTTCCCCTAGGATGGGGCCAGAGCTGTGGCATAGCGGATTAAGCCTCTGCCTGCAGTGCCTGCATCCCATATGGGCGCCAGTTCTAGTCCCAGCTGCTCCACTTCTGATCCAGCTCTCTGCTTTGGCCTGGAAAAGCAGTAGATGTCCTTGGGTCCCTGTATCCATGTGGGAGACCCAGATGCTCCTGGCTCCTGGCTTCAGATAAGCACAGCTCTGAACATTGCAGCCAATTGGAGAGTGAACCAGCGGATGGAAGACTTCTCTCTCTCTCTCTCTCTCTGTCTGTCTCTCCTTCTCTCTCTGTGTAACACTGACTTTCAAATAAATAAATAAATCTTTAAAAAAAGAAGAAAAAATCTTCCTCTTGGTCTCCATTTCAGTTTTCAGGATCCCATTCTTTCCTAACCAATGCCCCCATTTTAATGGAAGACACCTTGAGCATTTGGGAATTCAATTTGTATTGTGATTCAGACACCCACCAGATGAAATTCTGAGACTGGATTTGTACCAATATCAGTCATGAGCATACAGAAGATAAGGGTCTCTTTCAAAGAGGGGACAAACTTTTTGGTGACTTTTGTGATTCTTAACCTAAGAATCCTAGACTTCATCCTCTTCTCCTCCCACTTTATCTAGAAGCAATCATCTAGTCTTTTTTATTTCATTAGTTGGAAAAAAGTATTCTACATTACCAAACATATGGCTGTTGCCATGCCATTAGGGAGAGAATCTTATTTCCAATAAGCACTCGAGAAGGAACATCCAGTAGTGAAATTTCACATTTCTTTATTCTCTTAAGATTTATTTATTTATTTGAGAGGCAGAGTCACAGAGAGAGAGAAGAAAAGACAGAGGCCCTCCATCTGCTGGTTTAATCCCCCAATGGCCGCAACTACCAGGGCTGGGACAAATTGAAGCCAGAAGCTTCGTCTGGGTCTCCCAGGCAAGTGCAGGGGCCCAAGGACTTGGGCCATTCTCTGCTGCTCTCTCAGGCACACCAGCAGGGAGCTGGATCAGAAGTGGAGCAGCCAGTGGGGAGGAGGGGAACTTTCAACCAGTGCCCATATGGGAAGCTGGTGCTGCAGGCTGAAGCTTTAACCTGCTGAGCGCGGCAGGAATCACGCATTTCTTTATAGCCACATTGCCTTCTTTATTGCTTTACATACAGCCTATTAGGTACATTTATATTTAATCAGACTAAAGAACTGATTCCATAACCCCCAGAACCAACTCTGAAAAGTCAGCCTTAAGATTATGTTCCTGTTGGGGCAGGTGTTGTGGTAAAGTGGGTTAAGTCACCACCTGGGTTACCACCTCTCATACCAGAGTGCTTAGAATGGAATCCCAATCCAGCTTTGTGCAATGCTCTTGGGAGACAGCAAATGATGACTCAAGAACTTCTATCCAAGTGGGAGAGCTGGCTGGAGTTCCTGGCTCCTATCTTTTTTTTTTTTTTTGACAGGAAGAGTGGACAGTGAGAGAGAGAGAGACAGAGAGAAAGGTCTTCCTTTGCTGTTGGTTCACCCTCCAATGGCTGCCGTGGCCGGTGCACCGCGCTGATCCGAAGGCAGGAGCCAGGTACTTATCCTGGTCTCCCATGGGGTGCAGGGCCCAAGCACTTCCGCCATCCTCCACTGCCTTCCCGGGCCACAGCAGAGAGCTGGCCTGGAAGAGGGGCAACCGGGACAGAATCCGGTCTGGCTCCTATCTTCTGACTCAGCCCAGTTATTGTAGTCATTTGGGGAGTGAACCAGCGGAACTCTCGTCTCTTTCTGTCACTCTGCCCTTCTAATAAATCAATAAATCTTTTTTAAAAAAGATTACATTCACATTAGTTCAATTCTGTTTTGAGAGAAAGAAAGAGGGAAAAACTGAAGAACTTTTGGATATAAGTGATTCAAATGGCAAATTGTGAGGCAGGTGTAGCAGCATTGGGGGTACCAAGAGCTGAGAACAGTGTAGGAGAATAATGATGATGCAAGTCCAGAAACAACGCCAAACGAAAAGCAGATTTCAGCCTTTATTGTCCCCATCGGGCTGAGGGATGCAGGGTGGAGCTGCAGGGGGACACACACTCCGCTTTAGGGCTCCAGGGCAGACGCACAGAGTGGGAATGAGGTCAGGGCACAGCTTGGAGGAGAAGTCTGAGGTCCTGTTCTCCAAGAAGGAAGAATCCTCTAGGCTTGGGCTCAGTCTACCAAGACCTCTCAGCAGCAGGGCAGAGGGGGAAGGAAAATAATTGGTCTCCAAGTCTCCTCTTCCAGGCTCAGGGTCCCCCTCAGCAGCAGTCCCCAGATGACTGGCTGCCGCCCCCTCCACAGCAGCTGGAGCCCCCCGAGGGCTGGCTGCAGCAGCCCGAGCTCTGCTGTCTGCGGCGGTGCGACCTGCGGGGCCTGTGGTGGCTCAGGCAGCAGCCGCCACCCCCAGAGCTGCAGCAGCCCCCACCCCCAGAGCTGCAGCAGCCCCCACCCCCAGAGCCGCAGCAGCCCCCGGAGCTGGAGATGCAGCAGGAGGACACTGGAGGACACTTAGGGGGACACTTTGGGGGGCATTTGGGGGCTTGGCACTTGGGAGGGCACTTGGGGGGGCACTTGGGAGGGGGCTGGCACTGCTGCTGGCTCTGCTGGCAGGACATCTGGGCAGGCGGGCGTTCAGGAGCTGAGGGAGAGTTAAACAGTAGATCAGACCCAGGCCACACAAGCATCATTATTGCCTTCTTACCATCATTTCTTTTCCCTCTATCTGTAATGTGTCAAATGGTTCCACATTAACTCACTGGAACCTTAGGAAGTTTTCATAAACAGAAGTGGATTGTCTTCTTTCAGCAGTGCAAGAAGACCATGGGGACAACCTTAATGATGCACTTTGCCCAAAGACAATGTCTTGCAAGCAGAGAAGGCAAATGGACATTCCACAGCATGACTGGAGTCCACTCTTCCTCCGCCCTGCTCAGGATTCTGGAATGTCCAATCTGGGCGCTGGTTTACAGCTGCAGTTCTCTTTGTTAAGGAAGAAATAAGGACTCCCTCTTGGAGCAGCTTTCCACACAGCTTTGTTTAACAGATGTGCATGATTATATGTATGTGATACATAATATATTTATCGTGTATGGAGGACATATATAATATATTACATATTACACTCAGAATTGCAGAGGCCCACTTATAAGAGGTGATCGTTCCTAATCATCTTGTAGGTAGAGAGAGTTAAATCTAAAGCTAAGTGTGGCAGCTGATACCTTACCCTAGATTTCCTGGTCTGAGAGCCCAAGCCCAGTGATGCATCCTCTGCAACCCAAGCCTCCCCTCTCTCCCACCTCAACACCAACATAAACATGTTACTCAATATTCAACTTTGGCATCCCTGATGGAGATACCCAGGACCCACTCTTGACCAACCGGATGGTATTTGGTGAAGGCAGGGCCATTATCTCTGTTTCTCAAACCCCAAATGTGTTTCCCCTAATATCGTGGCTTGCATATTAGCTTTGGTACCCTGCTAAGGCCCATGTGTTAAAAACTTGGTCCCTAAAGTCTTATTTTAATAGCTAATGGGTCAGTGTTTAATGGATTAAGGATAGAAGCTTAGTCCAATTGTGATGTCTAGGAGGCGGGCCTAGTGACAGGTTCTTGGGTCATTGGGATCATGCCCTTGGAAGGTGGTTTCCCAGAGTGTAGGATTTATAAGCATGAGCTGTGCCTAGCCTATCTCTGCTCATGTGATCCTGTGTCTTTGCTGTCCACCAGCCTCTGATGCCACATCAACTGGGCTTGGGAAGAGCCAACTGATAACACTTGTTCCTGGTCTCCACCAACTGAGAATGACTATGACCTCAGTATAGGCTTCAGAGAAGGAACACACCTGCCCACTCCTCTGAAAGTAAGAATTACTTTAGCTTCTCTGAGATGTGAGAGCCTCAGACAGGTACCAGGCTAATCTGGATTAGAATGTAGAACATCAACTTACAAACCATCTGGTGTTTATAAATTCTCCCACCCCAAGGTGCATCCTCTTTCATTAGCATTCGCTTCTCCCCTCCTGCTAATCCAGCCACCCTCACCTTTGAAGCCCCACTCCCGCTTCCCCAGTTCTGGTCTGAATATCCCTCCGGGGAAGCCCCTGCTTCTCTTCCCAGTGGACACTCACCAAGGTCACAGGCAGCACAGGGTCCGTAGGCACCTCAGGAGGAGAGTGGATGTTGGTGCTCTGGACCCAGGGCTCTTTTATCCTTGCCTGGGCCCTGCCCCAAGAGTGAGACAGACCCTGAGCATGGGAAGACCCGCCTCCCGATGCCCGACGCCCACACAGACCTGTGACAGGTGATGACTGCAAAGTCCTCTCCTCCCTCCCTCCCTCCCTCCACAGGGCTCAGGGAAGCTGCTCCCAGCTTGGAATTCGACCACTTGGGAAAGGAGGTGGGGTGGGGAAGTCCCTACCATCATTTTCCACCCATTCTTCCTGGAGGGTACCTGACCTCTCTTTCTTAGAGCTTCCTCCCCCAGCACTTCCTTTTCTGCTTCCCCAATGTTAAATTAATGACTCCATACAACCTTGTCCAAATATTCCTTCAAAGTCTGCTCCACACAGATAACTTAGACACGAAACATTTCAAGGTTTGCAATTTCAGCTTTGCGCAAATGCCATAATACCTGGGAGGGTCTTCAGCCTGTTCTGGGAACGCACAGGTTACACATGTTTACAGCTGGATAGAATCCATCTTACGAAGGCAGCCTGATTTTGTTATTCTGTCTCTTTTGGGTGGGCTTTAGGATATCTCCAGTATTTTATGTGCAAATATCGTAGCTCTGAAAATTTTTGCTCATGTCAACTTTTATATATGTGAGTCTCTCCAAGTTTAGGTCTCCTAAGTGGATTTTAAATCACACTCAAATTTTCAAATTTCTCTGCACCCCATCTATGGGGTGTAGGAATCATTCTTGCTGCACATTGTTGGTAAACATAAATATGTACCATTTGATAGATGTAAATTGTTATCAGTTGTAGATTTCATGTGTTTCCCTGCTTCATCGTGACCGTGACTGTCTTTGTAAATGTTTACCAGTCTTTGGGTTTCCTCTTCTGTGACTTGCTTATTCTTTCTTTAAAATTGTTTTTCTCTCCATTTATCTCCTTTCGCTAGGATCCAGAAGTATTCTTCATATATTCTAGGTACTAATGCCTCTGTTAGAGGTGTTGCAAGTATCTTTCTCCAATAATGTGTCTTCTTGTCTGAACTTTAATGTCATTTATAAACAGGTGTTTCACTTTTAACCTAACTAGACTTCTGCAACAGCATCTGTATTGTTGTGCTTTGTGTGATTTTTAGAAATCTCAGTTTTTCATATGCTCAGAGATTTTCTTTTCTATTTTTTAATTGCAAATATTTGTTTTCTTTTAAAAATTAAGGTCTTTATTCAATCTTGCAGAGAGCTATGTATATTTTACAGCTATTTTAATTTGTTTCAAGTGAGTAATCAATTGTTTCAGTATCATAATTAAACATTTAACTTTCCTCAGTAATTCTGAAAAGCTTTCTCTATCACAAATCTGTAGATTTATAAATAGAAGGACAATTCATTGTCTATTTGTCTGCCCTCAGGCCCACAATCAGCTGTGATATTTAATCACACAGCTTCCATGATCCCTCAAAGTTATCTTGGTGAGTGCTAGATGTTCACTCCTGCACATGAACTTGGAGTCAGTTTGTCATGTGCCATAAAATGAAAATAAAGTCGAGCAAAACATTAGAATTTCAAAGAAAATTTCATTGAATATTTGAATTAATTTGGTGAAGATTGTCATATTTCATTATAATTTTCTTTTCTATCCATCTGTGAAAATATTTCTTTATTTTGATATTCAACAATTCCTGTTATTACAATATTATCTTATTAAGCTATTTTACATTAAAACTACATTTTAGAGATTATTTTTCCATTTAAAATAGTAATTCCTAAAGTTATATTTTTGAATTATTTTTACTGGTTAATTTAAATTTTATTTGTCCTATATAGCCTGATATCTTGCAACTTTTCTAATTTTTTTAATTTCCTGTATTAATCATTCTTTTTTTTTTTTTTTTTTGACAGGCAGAGTGGACAGTGAGAGAGAGAGAGAGAGAGAAAGCTCTTCCTTTGCCGTTGGTTCACCCTCCAATGGCTGCCGTGGCCGGCGCGCTGCGGCCGGTGCACCGCGCTGATCCGATGGCAGGAGCCAGGAGCCAGGTGCTTTTCCTGGTCTCCCATGGGGTGCAGGGCCCAAGCACTTGGGCCATCCTCCACTGCCCTCCTGGGCCACAGCAGAGAGCTGGCCTGGAAGAGGGGCAATCGGGACAGAATCCTGTGCCCCGACCGGGACTAGAACCCGGTGTGCCGGCGCCGCTAGGCAGAGGATTAGCCTATTGAGCCACGGCACCGGCCTGTATTAATCATTCTTAAGCATAAATATTTTCTTTATCAAAGTTTCTTTCCTTAAGTTACCTTCCAAGAAGTACAATTACTACATAAAAGAGAATGTTTGTTTTAAATTTTAATTTGTACATACAACAGTGAGAATGTGTTGAATAACAAATCACCAAATTTCATACAGACTGGTTGTGCCAATTTACATTTCTGATAAAATTCATTTCTTGTCACCTTGAGCAATACTGTTTTGTTATGTATTTTAAATCTTTTCAAGTTAAATATAAAGGAATGAACCTGATAGACCTCATCCTTGAAAATCATTCTTGTTTCCTACATAGTGCTTTGACTATTTTTGGGTACAGACATGAAACAATAAATTTTGAAATGTACCAGTGATTTCTGTTTCTTCCTAAGCTCCTTGTTTGCCCATGCACTTTGCCCATTCGTTTATGAATAACTTTTTTTCTATGAAATTATAAGAGTTTGAATATCATCTTGACTGTGTCCTTCAATTTTTCCTCAGGTGGAATTTTTTACCATCTTTTTTTTTTGTATTATATGTTCTGCTATGAAGTGTTTTTTTTTACAATGTAGCAATATTTGTAAAAAAAGAATTTTGCCACATTTAAAATATTTTACCTATTTACAAAGAAATAATTAGGCATATATTTTTCTAGCAATCTTGGAAAATTGATTAATCGTTGCTACTCTAAAGAGGAGTTTTCCAGAGAAATAAATAAATGGAAATCATAGTAAAATTCACTGTTTGAATTAATGCTCACCAGGTCTCTTCCTTCTAATACCCTGAGATGATGAAAAACTGATGACATAAGAAACATACTTTTATATAGAGTCATTTCTTTGCACATGGTTCATGTTAAAATGGCACCAAAAAAAAAAAAATGAGCATCTCCTTGGAGACACAAGATACAATTCTCAGTAAGAATTGACACTTGGAGCTGGACCCCTGTCAGCTGAGTCTTGAGATAAAATAAAATAAAATAAAATAGCACCCAGTCCATTGAGAGCTAACGCCCGATGTAAGGAAGCCGAGGACACAATGTTACATCACACTGCTACCTGTTACCTAAACCTGTGTCACATTAACTGGTAATCTGGTGCCACCCTTCATGGTGGCACAGGCATGGACAGAATAGTTTCTAGTCCTCATCATCCTTGGAATGGCTAGGCTGGACTTCCGGATCAGGACATCCGATGCAGGCGGTATTATCAATATCCTGACTTCAGTCTCATTACACACACCCTCTGAAACAACACGAGTCCTGCTCAGGTGATTGAGGGGCGATGTCGGCAAGAAGCTAAGGTTAGTGTGTGGCGTCATCAGTGTCTCAGAGTGAGAATTCTAGTGAGGATAGCCTAAGTCATATGCAAAGTTACATCCTTGCTGATAGTAATAAATTTGTTTTCAAGTTGATTGCCTACTGAATTCATAGCCCTGTTTGATGAGAAGTACATAAATTAAGACCCAACCAGCAAAACCAAGAAAAGCTTATTGTAATCACTGAAAAATAATCATTGAAAGATAAGACAGCGCAAGTGGGATTTAAAGGGTACTGTTTAAGAGGTGCACATAGCAAGGAATAAAGCATGGAAGATGGGGGGGTGCAATGTAGAGAAAAATACGTCATTTTAGCCTAAAAACATCACATCTCTAAAGGGAAGTAACACAGCCTAAACTAGAGAAAAAGCAAAGGGTCACATCACACAGGCGTCAAACACCTGTCAATAGATATTAGAGCTCATCACAGACCCCGTAGGACGCCAGTGAGCCTCCCTTAACAGTCTTGGGTTGAGAGAGGGAGAGAGTCCTTCTTTGGAACCAAATGAAGAATAGAACAGGAGAAGAACAAGGTAGATGGGAGTTAGAGTCCAGGACAATGGACTCCAGGCAACACCAGCTATGGACAGAAATATGGTCTTAGGTGTTGCACACATTTGCACACTTAGGTCCTCTCACGGTGTGTGTAGAACCTCTAGGTAGAAGCACATACTGATACACATCTGAGTCACACACTGGTGGAGTTCATGCTGTAGAAAACGACCTAGATATTACCAACTCAGCATCCATCCAGTGTCCAGGGACGTCCGAGTTCTCCCTCCAGCCAGGAGAGAAGCGCATCCTCTAGACACGATCACCTCCAGCTCAATTACCCTTCATCCAACAAATCAGTTTAGTTGTTTCAAAGCCTTGCCACACCGAAGCTGGGATTCTTGTTATCTGCCCCACTATCTTAACCCAGATGGAAACTGTAGCCCCTTCCCCTTAGTCTACAGACAGTGTAAAAACCAACATTTCTTTCAAGAAAAGTCCATGTTCATATACATAACTGAATTGAGAGCTTGAGGGGCCAGCAGTTGAGACAGGCTTATAAAACAGAAAGAAAATGAATTCCTATGAGTTATTAGACGTCCCTGTTCCCAAGCGCCTTCCTATTTCCGCTGCACTGGGGATGATGTCTCCTTTGCCCGTTGCACCAGACAGTGCTCCAGCCCAATACAGCCTCTCTCTCTCTTCCACGTTTCCACTTTCTCTCCCGTGAACTTCGGCTCACCTGAGTACCCTCTTAGAAAATCTGAATCCTCGCTCTCCCTAGCACATGAAGTTATCTCTCTCCATTTTCTATATAATTTCATTCCTTCATATGTTCTCAATAAAATCTCAACAAGACAAAAGGGGCTTGTTTTATTTTTAAATGGATCTAGTCTCCCTAAAAAGCAGCTGTATTTTAAGATAGAATGGGGTGGCATTTCTTTAGAGAATACAACATGTGATACCTGCCAGAACTGTCTTTGCACAAGCTCGTTGAGCTTCAGCCTCACCCGTGGAAGCTTTATGTATATTATCTTTAGAGTAGAGTTTTCCAACTCAGAACAAGAATTAAAGGATTTTTCAAAAGGTCTTGCAGGTAACAGCAGGTATAAACAGGATTCTCTCTTGGTTTGTTTGATGATTAAGACGGTTTACTTTTTTTTCTTTAAAGATTTTGTTTACTTATTTGAGAGTTAGAGTTACAGACGGAGAGGAAGAGACAGAGAGAAAGAGAGGAGAGAGATATTCCATCCGCTGGTTCACTCCCCAAATAGCTGCAATGGCTGGAGCTGCGCCGATCCAAAGCCAGGAGCCAGGATCTTCTTTCAGGTCTTCCATGTGGGTGCAGGGGCCCAAGGACTTGGGCCATCTTCCACTGCTTTCCCAGGCCACAGAAAAGAGCTGGATTGGAAGAAGAGCAGCTGGGACTTGAACCTGCCAGCAGAAACTTAATCAACTACACCACAGCCACAGCCATAAGATAGTTTCCTAATTGCCTTCACACACACACACACACACACACACAGCTATAAAATTGTTGAGGGTTGGAGAAGTCTAATAAATGTGGTTTAAATTAGGTTGTCTGGAACCTTTAAGTTAATGCTTGGAAGGCAGAAAAGGGAAGTCGGGAACTCAAGCTCCAAAACAAAGCAAGGCTGGTGCCCTCCAGGAGAGCAAGGTGGGGAGTGAGGGTGGGGACTTTTCCACCCCATGTCCGTTGGTCAGTGGGCTAAGTCCAACATGGGAGCAGCTGCTTTGCGTCCTGTGGAGGAAGGCAGGAGAGGATCAGCCAGTCATGACCTGTCACTGCAAGTGTGGGTGTCAGGAGGCAGGTCCCCCATGCCTAGGTCCCGTGTCACAGATTCCAAAGCCAGGATAAAAGGTGCTCAGGTCCAGGGCACCTGCAACCACTCTCCTCTGGAGGTGCCTACAGACCCTGTGTGCCTGTGACCTTGGTAAGTGTCCCCTGGGAATAGGAACAGGGGCTCTCCCAGAGGGACGCTCAGACCAGAGCGGGAGGGGAGGCTGGGCAGGACCTCAAGGGGTGGGCTGGTACTGGCATCCAGATTACAAAGGCACCAGTCTCAGGAAGACTGAAAGACAGAGGCATTGAGGACAGATGAGAACACGAAGCGGGCAGCTGGGGATAGTGACTTGCGGGTGTTCTCTGGTGCTCTAGAGAAAGCAAAATTGACCTCCAGCTGCTGGGTTCTAATCTGGACATTGCAACATCAGCCATCCGGAAACCTGTAACATTATTCACAATGGGAAGTGTACCTTTGAAAACATAATAGCTCTTTCCTGAAATCCTGAGCTGGGAAAGGTGGTTTCCAGCCAGGAGACTAGAAATCAGAGCAAACTGGCTGAGAATGCACTCAGACAGACGGTTCCACAGAGCGGACGAGCCGAAAGCTCAGGGCTGCGGTGAGTGCTGGAGGCGATTGTCTGCTGAGACCGTCAGAGCCCCAGACCACGCTCAGACTTGGGTGTCAGTCTCAACTTAATTCGATGATATTTTTTATCAGTTCGTCTCCCTAGGCAATCTCCAGCATGCTTTGCAACTGTGATTTTGTATGGAGCAAGATTATATAGCGAATTCTCCTGAGAGGAAACGTCGGTTTTCTTTAAAGAAACGATTCCATTTCTGAACTGCTTCCTAGGTTGTTTTTATAACTCGAGTGTATAATTAGGTAGACTCCTTTCCTGCTACATGCTGGGTTTTCAGACGGTTTTCTCAGCGTTTCCCCCTTCAGTCTGTAATTATAAAGCATTTGGATATATTTCCAATTGTATAGTAAGAACAGTTGGCTAGAAGAGAGGATACGGAAACATTTGTCCAACTATTGGAAATAATGGAATTTTCAGTGCTTAACACTGCACAGTTGATTAAAAGGAAGGGACTAGAAATGATGCTGAAAGGACAATAAAAAGCAGGGCTGGCCCTGCGGCCTGGGTCTGACGTGCTGTTTGATTTCCCCTCAGCTCTTGAACGCCCGCCTGCCCAGATGTCCTGCCAGCAGAGCCAGCAGCAGTGCCAGCCCCCTCCCAAGTGCCCCCCCAAGTGCCCTCCCAAGTGCCAAGCCCCCAAATGCCCCCCAAAGTGTCCCCCTAAGTGTCCTCCAGTGTCCTCCTGCTGCATCTCCAGCTCCGGGGGCTGCTGTGGCTCTGGGGGTGGGGGCTGCTGCAGCTCTGGGGGTGGGGGCTGCTGCAGCTCTGGGGGTGGGGGCTGCTGCCTGAGCCACCACAGGCCCCGCAGGTCGCACCGCCGCAGACAGCAGAACTCAGGCTGCTGCAGCCAGCCCTCGGGGGGCTCCAGCTGCTGTGGAGGGGGCGGCAGCCAGTCATCTGGGGACTGCTGCTGAGGGGGACCCTGAGCCTGGAAGAGGAGACACGGAGGCAGCAAATGGCCAAACAGCTTCCCCTCTTCTTGCCCCTGCTGCTGAGCCAGCCCATGTTGCCGAGAGGCCTTGGTGAGGTCGGACCTCAAGCCTAGAACTGCCTTCCATCTCTAGGTCCAGGAGCCCAGATTTTTCCAAAGACTGTTTGCTGCTGACCTCATCCCCGTATGTGGGACTACCTTGCCCAGGGGACCCTGGAGCACAGATCTGTGGCTCTGCAGCCTGATGTGTAACAATAAACCCTGAAACCTGCATGGGCTTGGCCTTGACTGATTGCTGTTTGTACTGTCTCGTCATTGTTATCTGCTCTTGGTTGCCCTAAGACTTCACTGTATAAAGAACTTCAAATGTTTCCACTTGCACTACTGCATAGCAAACCAAAATTTCTTTCATTGAGAACCCAGACCAGGATCCCTTGTAGGGATGGCATTGACCTTTTAAAGAGCCACTGGTTTTGTCAAATGCATCTCAGTTTGCGTTGCCTGGTGGCTCTTTGTGAATCGATTCAGGTTCTGCATTTTTGCAGAGATCCCAAAGAGTGGTACGGTGGTTAGGGCATGATGCTAGGCCTCTCATGATGTGTGGACTTGTGTCCTGGTAACTTGAAGAACTCTTATTGTATCTACCTTGCTACACAGAACATTCTTAGGTATTTCTCTCTCCTGAATCATGTTTATTTCCTTTGACTAATACTTGGAAGAATGATTTCGTAAAAGGATAATTTCACTCTAAGTCTAAATTCATTACATGTCAATACAAAGTATTTCAAAAAGTTTATGGAAATGGAATTAAAAGTTAAATTCATTTAGGGCCGAGAAAGCATTTGATAAAATACAACACCCGTTCATGATGAAAACTCTAAGCAAACTGGGTTTGGAAGGAACATTCCTCAATACAATCAAAGCAATCTATGAAAAACCCACAGCCAACATCCTATTGAATGGGGAACAGTTGGAAGCATTTCCACTGAGATCTGGTACCAGACAGGGATGCCCACTCTCACCACTGCTATTCAATATAGTTCTGGAGGTTCTAGCCAGAGCTATTAGGCAAGAAAAAGAAATTAAAGGGATACAAATTGGGAAGGAAGAACTCAAACTATCCCTCTTTGCAGATGATATGATTCTTTATTTAGGGGACCCAAAGAACTCTACTAAGAGACTATTGGAACTCATAGAAGAGTTTGGCAAAGTAGCAGGGTATAAAATCAATGCACAAAAATCAACAGCTTTTGTATACACAGACAATGCCATGACTGAGGAAAAACTTCTAAGATCAATCCCATTCACAATAGCTACAAAAACAATCAAATACCTTGGAATAAACTTAACCAAGGATGTTAAAGATCTCTATGATGAAAATTACAAAATCTTACAGAAAGAAATAGAAGAGTATACCAAGAAATGGAAAAATCTTCCATGCTCATGGATTGGAAGAATCAATACCATCAAAATGTCCATTCTCCCAAAAGCAATTTATAGATTCAATGCAATACCAATCAAGATACCGAAGACCTTCTTCTCAGATCTAGAAAAAATGATGCTGAAATTTATATGGAGACACAGGAGACCTCGAATAGCTAAAGCAATCTTGTACGACAAAAACAAAGCTGGAGGCATCACAATACCAGATTTCAGGACATACTACAGGGCAGTTGTAATCAAAACAGCATGGTACTGGTACAGAAACAGATGGATAGACCAATGGAACAGAATAGAAACACCAGAAATCAATCCAAGCATCTACAGCCAACTCCTATTTGATCAAGAGTCCAAAACCAATCCCTGGAGTAAGGACAGTCTATTCAATAAATGGTGCAGGGAAAATTGGATTTCCACGTGCAGAATCATGAAGCAAGACCCCTACCTTTCACCTTACACAAAAATCCACTCAACATGGATTAAAGACTTAAATCTACGACCTGACACCATCAAATTATTAGAGAACATTGGAAAAACCCTGCAAGATATAGATACCGGCAATGACTTCTTGGAAAACACCCCAGAAGCACAGGCAGTCAAAGCCAAAATTAACATTTGGGATTGCATCAAATTGAGAAGTTTCTGTACTGCAAAAGAAACAGTCAGGAAAGTGAAGAGACAACTGACAGAATGGGAAAATATATTTGCAAACTATGCAACTGATAAAGGGTTGATAACCAGAATCTACAAAGAAATCAAGAAATTCCACAACATCAAAACGAACAACCCACTTAAGAGATGGGCCAAGGACCTCAATAGACATTTTTCAAAAGAGGAAATCCAAATGGCCAACAGACACATGAAAAAATGTTCAAGATCACTAGCAATCAGGGAAATGCAAATCAAAACCACAATGAGGTTCCACCTCACCCCAGTTAGAATGGCTCACATTCAGAAATCTACCAACAACAGATGCTGGGGAGGATGTGGGGAAAAAGGGACACTAACCCACTGTTGGTGGGAATGCAAACTGGTTAAGCCACTATGGAAGTCAGTCTGGAGATTCCTCAGAAAGCTGAATATAACCCTACCATTCAACCCAGCCATCCCACTCCTTGGAATTTACCCAAAGGAAATGAAATTGGCAAACAAACAAGCTGTCTGCACATTAATGTTTATTGCAGCTCAATTCACAATAGCTAAGACGTGGAACCAACCCAAATGCCCATCAACAGTAGACTGGATAAAGAAATTATGGGACATGTACGCTATAGAATACTATACAGCAGTCAAAAACAACGAAACCCAGTCATTTGCAACAAGATGGAGGAATTTGGAAAACATCATGCTGAGTGAATTAAGCCAGTCCCAAAAGGACAAATATCATATGTTCTCCCTGATTGGCGACAACTAACTGAGCACCAAAGGGGAAACTTGTTGAAGTGAAATGGACACTATGAGAAACAGTGACTTGATCAGCTCTTGTCCTGACGGTTGATGTACAATGTAATACTTTATCCATTTTAGTATTTTTTTTGTTCTAGTACCATTGGTTGAACTCTGTAATTAACACACAACTATTCTTGGGTGTTTAAATTTTAACTGAAAAGTGATCCCTGTTAGGAATTTGGAAAACATTATGCTGAGTGAAATAAGCCAATCCCAAAGGGACAAATACCACTTGTTCTCCTTGATAGGTGACAACTAACTGAGCACCAAAAAGGAAACCTGTTAAAGTGAAATGAACACTATGAGAAACGGTGACTTGATCAGCCCTCACCCTGACTGTTGATGAGCAGCTTTATATGTTGTCCCTCTTAGTATTTTTTTTTGTTTGTTCTACTTAATACTTTTGGATTCTACTTAATACTTTTGAATACTGTAATCAATACACAATTATTCTTAAGTGCTGAAACTTAACTGAAAAGTGATTGCTGTTAAATATAAGAGTGGGAATAAGAGAGGGAAGAGATGTGCAATTCGAGACATGCTCAAGCTGACTTACCTCAAACGGTAGAGGTAGAAACATACCAGGGGATTCGAATTCAATCCCATCTAGGTGGCATGTACCAATGCCATCTCACTAGTCCCAGTGATCAATTTCTGTTCACAATTGATCGTAATGATAGGACTAAGAACCAAAGGGATCACATAAACAAGAATAGTGTCTGCAAATACTAGCTGATAGAATAAAAAAGGGAGAGAATGATCCAACATGGGAAGTGAGATATACAGCAGACCCATAGAATGGCAGATGTCCTAACAGCACTCTGGCCTCAGAATCAGCCCTTAAGGCATGCGGATCCGGCTGAAATGCCCATGAGAGTATTTCAGGCATGGAAAGCCAAGACACTCTGGGGGGGGGGGGGACCTAAATGAAAGATCTCCACGAGTGAGATCCCAGTGGAAAGAATGGGTCATCAAAGAAGGAGGTACCTTTCTCTGAAGGGAGGAGAGAACTTCCACTTTGACCATGGCCTTGTGTAAATATGATCAGAGTCAGTGAACTCAGGGGGCTTCCACAGCCTTGGCAGCTCATGACAAGAGCCTAGGGTGATTACTGATGCCATAAACAAGAGTGTCAATTTGTTAAGTCAACAACAGGAGTCACTGTGCACTTACTCCTCATGTAGGATCTTTGTCCTTAGTGTGCTGTACATTGAGATTTAATGCTATAACTAGTACTCAAACAGTATTTTTCACTTTATGTTTCTGTGTGGGAGCAAACTGTTGAAATCTTTCCTTAATGTATGCTAAACTGATCTTCGGTATATAAAGAGAATCGAAAATGAATCTTGATATGAATGGAAGGGGAGAGGGAGTGGGTAAGGGGAGGGTTGCGGGTTGGAGGGACGTTATGGGGGGGAAGCCATTGTAATCAATATTCTGTACTTTGGGAATTTATATTCATTAAATAAAAGTTAAAAAAAGAGAAAAAATTCATTTAGGGGCAAAATATTCACCAAATGGAATTTTTCACTCTTCACAAAGTTTGTAGAATATACATGTTATGAAAAAAAAAAGAATGAATTTCAAACACTTTTGGCACTAAAATAATCCTATCTTTTTAATGATTTATTTATTTATTTGAAAGAATTACAGAGAGAGAGGGACAGAGACAAAGAGGGAAATTGTCCATCTGCTGTTTCACTCCCCAGAGAGCTGCAATGGCCAGGGTTGAGCCAGGCCCAAACCAGGAGCCAGGAGCTTCAGCAGGGTCTCCCACGTGGGTGGCAGGGGCCCAAACACATGGGCCATCTTCTGCTGCTTTTTCCCAGGCCATTAGCAGGAAGCTGGATAGAAAGTGGAGCAGCCGAGATTTGAACTGGCGCCCTTATGGGATGCCCGCACTGCAGTTGGTGACTTTACCAGCTGCGTCGCAGTGCCAGCCCTATAGTCATATCTTTCATTCTATTTTCCAGGAGCCTTTTGGAGTGCCCTCTACATGTTGTCATCTGGAACAGTTGTATCACTTTCTATTGCCAGCCCGAAATGTGGATGTGTTTGACCACAAACTCTCTCACACACTGAGTATTTCTAATGCTACTAATTTGAAACACATAAATGAATCTGATTGCCTGCATCCCAGTGTAAGATACTTCTTTAGTGTTTCCTTTGCATTTACTTGAAGATTCAGAAACTCCATGCTCTCTCTTTTGTGTATGTGCACAACTGTGTGAATGTGTGAGTAAGAAGGGGAAAACCCCCTGTGCTCTCAGTCCATAAGGGTTTATTTTTGTTTATCTTTTTAGCTTATAACATTGTTCCTATATTAGGGATATCAACCTTATGTGGTATATGTATTATATTTTCTCCTACCTGACACTTCATCTTTTTCCTTATGTGTG